GAGCTGAGATGACTGACCTCCAACAACCACGACTATCTTCCTATGTGTCAAGTATGACTCCAACCACCGGAGAGATTTCCCCCGAAGACCATTGATTCCAGTTTTGCTTGGGCTCCTTGATGTCACGCTCAGCTGAATTCAGCCTTGATGACAAGAGCTATCATTCTAAACTCACCTCTGGAATTCAGCTCTTTTGTCAATGTTTGGACCAAGGCTGTAATGAGGTCAGCAGTTGAGTGGCCCTGGTGGAACTCAAACTGGGCGTCACTCAGCAGGTCATTGCTGGGCAGATGCTGCTTCTATTGATGCAACAGTTGTGGAACAGCTTGCTTAGATTTACATCAAGTTCTGGAGCACAAGTCTTCAGTATTATTGCCAGAATGTTGTCAGGGCCCATAGCCTTTGCAGTGTCCATTGTTTCCAATCGTTTGTAATCTATTGTACTTCTGCAATCTGCAATCTGGACCCATGACCTGAGGGAATGTTTGAAAGTTTCGTTGAAAAATAGTCACGTTTGGAACAGGATTCTTAGTAAGAAAACAAACAGCAAATTGAAAATAAAGACATGGCATCTTTAAGAAACAATTTAAAAATCAGAGAGCCAGTTATGCACTACAATCTTTTTTTGATTTGTAAGTTTATCCAGGGTTAAACAAAATCTTTTGCCACTATGGTAACTGTAGTGATTGTTACAAGGTCAGCCAGGTGGACCTCATAGAATGTTAGTTCCCTGATTGGGTCTGTTAATCTGGTCTAATCAGGGAGCCCTGACTGACAGGTAAGAACAGGAGTGGTGAACTCTCTTCTTAAACTGCTGCATTTGTTGCGGTGTCAGTGCACATATTTTTGTTATAAGGAAGAGCATTGCAGCATTTTGATCTCGTCACAGAGAAACAACGCCTAACATTCGACAACGCTGAGAAAAGAACTTCTCGTTCAAGCAAAGACCTAGATCTGACTGACTTAAGAGCATGTGCCGCCAACGACAACGTGATATCATTGCCAAAAATAAAACAAAAACTGTGGGAAAGTCACTTCATCGCATCCTTGTGATTTAAACTTTTCATCCTCAGAATTTGGTTCATTTTTTATATACTTTATACCCATACATCTGCAGAACTGCCTGTCTTGTTTGTCCTATTTGCAAGTGAGTTTATGCATGATGGATTTGAAGGGAATATAGTTGAAGTCTGCATATTAGTAATTAACAATGCATTTTTTTGACTTGTTTAAGGGTATGTTTATCTGCAATAAATACATTTTATTTTCTTGTTTATTGATGAAGCCTGTTGTGGATCTCCTTGTCCCAGTCAGCAGACAAAGTCAGGCAAATCAATCATCTCAGTGATTCAACTGGTCACGTAAATATTTGTGATAAGTCCTGGAAAAGTAGGGCTCGATTACCAGCACGCTGTTCCCACCAGCATCTTGCCAATCCACTACTTACACTCAAGGTGGCCATGGCATACAGAGAGTAATAGCTTGAGAAGGTCAGAAGACACGGGCAGAAGGTCAGATTCCTCACATATTCAAGCAGCCCTGGTCTATATCCAGCAAGACATGGACAACATCAGGCTTATGGTGATAAATAGCAAGTAATATTCATGTCAGTTAAGTGCCAGATAATGACCATCACAAATAAGGAGTTTAAACTGTCACCCGTTCACATTCAATGACATAACAATCACTGAATCCCATTATCAACACCCTGGAGGGTTTGCCACTGACCAGAAGCTTACTTATATTGACCCGCTATATTCGTACTGTGGCTACAAAGAACAGGCCAAAGGCTAGGAATTCTGTGGCGAGTAACTCACCTCCTGATTCCACAGTGACAGGAGTCAGGAATGTGATGGAATACTTTCCACTTACCTGCACCAGCGCTACTCCAACATCATCTCAAGCACCATCCGGGATAAAGCAGACCACATCTGTTTCCCCTATTCCACCTCATTCAACATTCAGTCCCTTCACTGCCAACACAGAATGGCAGCTATATGTACCATCTATAAGATGCACAGCAGTAATACAACAAGGCTGTCCTGGCAGCATCTTCTAAACCCCCTATCCGCTACCGTTGGAAGGACACACCAACACCTGCAAGTTGCCCTTCCAGGCACACATCACCCCAATGTAAAAATATGTTTTCATTCCTCAGTATCACTGGGTCAGCACCCTGAGATTCTCTTCCTGATAGCACAGTGTGTTTCAATACCATCAGAACTACAGCAGTTCAAGAAGGCAGCTCATCACAACTTCTTCCTGGGCAATTAAAGGACAATAAACACATCTCATGTGTGAATAAAAGAAAATTCATGATTTTAAAGTTCTCTATTTTAAGTTTTTGTGTTGAATCTCATGATATTGTAGCTAAGTCTGAGTTGTGTTGATTTTTGGGGAGATTTTTCAGCATGAGACCCAGCCAGCGTAGTTGCGTACTAAATTCACCATGTTAAGTACCTACTACGCTTGTATAATGTCTCACACAGTTTCTGCTCGTCTTATCATGCACATTCCTGGAACAACATGCCTGTCTAATTTTTTTTTTGCCAAAAGACTGGCACCTCTTACATCTGTGCCAAGTTTAAAAAGCCACTGTGCACCTGGATGAGCACTGGCAATCCAATGCTGCCCAGCTCAGTCAAAGACAGAATTGGAACATGGCAGAGAAGAGGAAGATATTATTAAACTGGAGAGCGTTCAGAGAAGATTTACAAGGATGTTGGCAGGAATAGAGGCTTTGAGTTATAAAAACAGGATGGACATCCTGGGACTTTTCTCACTGGAGCTTAGCAGCTTCAGTTACAACGTTAAACAGATGTTTGGATAAGTATATTGAAAGGAAAGGTTTGGAGGGATATGGGCCAAATGCAGGAAGGTGGGTCTACTTTAGTATAGGAATATGCTCAGTGTGGACTATCATAGAATTCCAGCAGTTTGGAAACAGGCAATTTGGCCTGCTATGTCCATACTGACCCTCCGAAGAGCATCCCATTCAGTTCTTCTCTCCCCTATTCCTGTAACCCGGCATATTCCATGGCTAATCCACCTCACCAATATATCCCTGGACACAATGGACAATTTAGCATGGCCAATCCACCTAATCTGCACAACTTTGGACCATGGGAAGAAACCGGAGCAGCCGGATGAAATCCTGGCGTACACGGGAAGAACGTGCAAACTCTATACAGACATTCGCCTGATGGTCCCTGGTGTTGTGAGGCAGCAGTGCTAACCACTGAGTCACTGCACCGCCCTGTTTGACTGAAGGATCTGTTTCCATGTTGTTTGACTCTACAACAGGGACCTGGAGGTTTTGGTGATCTAGAGGAAAGGTGTCACCTTTCTGGAGAACTGGCATAGGAGTCTGTCCAGCCAGCCCATTCTGAGGTTGCCTCCTCACACTTGCATGCCACATCATCTCTCATTTGTTCTCACCTCTCAACCTCCCACAACACCAAACTGGTCTGCCCTCTCTGCTGCCTCCTCATGCCCTTGGGAGACCTCATCACCATTGTCCCACATGCACCAGGACTGACAACCATGCTACCCGCTGTCATCTCACTCATTCCCCCTCTTTCTACTGTTACAGAAGACCACAACCAACAGTACAAGCCCATGTGGGTGCCTGCATCCAGATCCTCATCCCATATGAGGTGAGAATCCCTCTCCTTTCAAGAAATGATCGGGCATCCCTATGGGGATGCCAAGACATCCATGTCATGCTAAATGAGTGAATGTCTCTCTTTATTCCACTGCTATTCTCCCAGTAACTAAGCTGTTGGTCTTATTCACTATGCATCACTTCTAGCCACTGGTCACAACACCATCTTTCTGTTGTTCTGCAGGTATAGCCTCTGCTCGTCTCCCCATGACCTCTGCAGAGAAACAGCCAGATCCTCTGGAAGTGCCTTCCTGGACCTCTGAGAACAAGATTATTGAGGATCTTAGAGGAAGCATGCCTCTGAGGGAATGCTCAGGAGCAAACTGTAGACAGAGAGAGTGTGGGAGCACAATCTGGTGAACACCTCACAGCGA